TAAACTAATAAATTCTAAAACTATTCCCTTATTACATCATCTGAAATCATAGGCGATTATGAGTATAGTTTATAACATTGATGTAGTATTAACAAAGATCTTCACATCGTGCTGACATGCATTAGCAACAAATGATCTATATCTCTCTCCTATTCAATCCATGTATCTGAGGCCTATCATCATCGTAATCATATTCTTATGTCTGGAAATGTGATGTGACTCTAACTTGCGTAGTGAGGTAGTTTACGACTTTCATACATGGCTTTGGAATAATCTAAACAAATCAAGATTTAAGAATAGCATCAACATAATCAAAATGCAATTCAAAAATTGGGAGAATAAGAGTTAGGTACCCATTATGACCGTAACATTATCCTTTACATAATAGTTATGATCAAAAAACTGAGATGACTTTTGGTCATATAATAATATAATCAAATATGTGTCATAACAAGAAAAGTAACAATAAAAATAGAACTCTTAGGCCTCGTTTAGTATGATGAAAGAGTTTTTTATACAATCAAAATCGAAATCAAAATTGAAATAGAATTAGATTACACATGTGTGTGTTTGGTTTGTACATGAAATCCTTGTATTATTTATTATGTAATATGCATATCCATATGTTAAAAGACTAAAATATCCCTGACTAAAAAAATCTCCCTTAGCATAGTTGAAATCCCAAGTCCAAGCATCACAACCCTCCCTAAGACCCACCTACTTCATCTTCCTTGTCCACCTCATAGACTGCCAAATTCACACCTTGACCAAGAAGCAAGAGCTTGACAACATGGCTCGTACAACATCCATTGTTGGATATTCATGCCCAAACTAAGAATGCCAATAGAGAGAGAGGGGGAGAGAGAGAGAGAGAGGTCGTGGGAGGTGCATCATCAATGAATGATGGAGTCATCGACCTATGATGGCAGTGTGAAGCTCCTTAAGTTGACAGAGATCTAAAAGGTGGGTCATCATTAATGATGGAGTCATCAACCGATGTGAAGCGTACACTTACGGTGTCCCTTTGGTTTTTGTGTGCATTAATAGAATTAATGAAGCGTGTATTGAATGTATGGGAGATAAATAGCCTCATGAGTAAGAACAAGAAAAGTCACTTGATTAAAACGTAGCATTCAATTTTCTTCAGATTACAACTCTATATACTTCTTTTTGCCTTTTTAGAGTAAGGGCCTATATGGACTATGTTGAAGTAATTCATCTAATAACCATACAAGATTTGGATCATCATCCTTACAAGGAAGTCATTGATCATGCTAGGTTCTTGTTTTTTTTTGTGAGAGTTCTATTTTCCTTAGAGTTTATGTTTAGAAATTAGGGAGAATTTCAATTAAAATCATAGATGAGACTTAATTATTAGTGAGTCCTAAAAACATTTTGAAATTTTAATTCAATCTAGGGGAATTAAAATGAAAAAAAAAAGCGACATTCACTTGTTATACAGAATCATTAGTTGTCATTATTTGACATGTCAATCTTAGTCATTACAAACAGTAATATCAATTATTAAATTGGTAAGTTTATTCATTAATTTATTAATATCAGTTGTAAATTATTAGTAAAGTTAGAAAATTAATAACTGATGTTGCTACTTGTTTAACAAACAGAAATAATTTACAATTCATATCAGTAAATTAACAGGTGAAGTAAAAAAATTAATAACTAATGGTTTTGTATAACAATGAAGGGTATGGTTTTTTCACCGTTGAAATTTCAAATCTTTTTCAAGATCTATTAATAATTAAGTCCTATTTATGATTCGTAATTGATATTCTCCTTAAAACTTAACTCTTGTGCTCATTTACTTGCTAGCGGCTTTTGTTAGCGCTGGTCTTTTTTGCTGATATGATCTGTTTCCACCTTATCATATTGAGGTAATGAATGATGACGTGTAGGTAACTTGATTTGCACTGTTTATGAGTAATGTTATCCCGTATTTATTAAAAAAAAAAAAAAACTTAACGTAGGGACTAGCGAGTGTCGCGTTGTTGAAATTGAGAAGGCAATTGCACGGTAGACTTGAAGTCAGCAGTCAGCGCAATAATGGGTAGCTTTCTTGATCAAAAGAAAATAATGGTGGGCTGCTTTATATAGTCAAAGTGCTCACACCGTGTCTCTTGACGGAATGGCGTGGTTGACGCGTACAAGGAATAAAACCATGGGCATGAAATAAGGATAATGAAATTAATTAATGACTAGCAAGTAAAAAACCAATGAACCTGAAAAAAGAAATCCTGCATGATTTTACTCGCAGAATATATGATAAGGAAACCATAATTTAATATTTATAATAATTTCAAAAAGTCACACCCAATATTTTTGCCAATGAACAAACGAGAACTATTAATTAGTTATGCTATCTCTATTCTATTTTATATGATTTTTGAAGTAAGTTAATATTTTAGAATATAAGATATTTTAAAAATGATTTATTAATAAAATGTATTTTAAAATTACCTCTCAATATTTTACTCTTTTGATAAGATCATTATTTCACCCCTTAAATATATTTCCGTCTCTTTCTCTTATTAAATAAAAAGTATTTTTAAAAGTTCACGGAGAAATTAAAATTCTAAACTTTACTTGATTAATTGATTTTATTGGATTTGTAATTTTTATCGTAAAAATTTCTTATAAAACAAGACAAAAGGAGTAGTGTTAACATTAAGTAAATAATAAGAAAATAACTCAAGATTTGTTAATTGTTTAGGAGCCAAGCGTATCATTATGTGAATAAATTCTCGAAACTTGATATCCATAAAATTTCATAAGATATTTTCTATATTTTATTATTTTTTATAAAATATAAAATCTTCTATCTATTCTTTTAAAAAATAAAACTTCAATGAAATTTACAGATTCTCAGAAAATTCATTCATAGTGCATCACAGAACTTTTAACTTTATTAGGCTAGGTAATATGTACTTGTAAATGTAAAACATATTTTTATTATTTATTAAAATTTTTAAAATCTTTTTTAAATTCATATTACCTTTAAAAATATTTCATAAAATTCGGTAGAGCGGAAAGAGCAATAATATACATATATTCGCGCCATACGGTACCCCAGGGAAGCAGGGAACGACAATCACTTGACCCGATATGTCTAATTTTGTAATTTTCTATGCCGAGTGAATACCAAGTGGCCTTTACTTAACCAATCATCACTTGCTCCCACTTTTTGCTGATATTGTTGATATATCGCAGTGAGTAGAGTGGCCTTTACTTTACGAATGGATCCCCAGAGCAGCGTTTCTTCTTCTTCAAAGAGGGTCTGGAAATATGGTGTGGCTATACAATGATATGGAAACTAACTCGGTTTACAGAATGCTTTGGAGTGCTTTAGTAACAAAAGATTTCGTCAGAATCGGCGGCAGATGGGTTAACCCATTAGAAAAAATTGAAGAATCCCAGATTTATATAGCTGTCTTCTCAAAAAGTTATGTTTACTGATCACCACGTTGCTTGGACACACTGGCAGTAATGTTTGAGTGCATGAAGGTACCTGGCCACAAATTTCTGTCAATTTTCTTCAACATCGATCCGTCTGAAGTGAAAACATGGCTAGCTCCATTTCAGACACTACTGGAACGCCCAGATTTGGTCATACAAAACTGGTAAGTAATTATTAATGTTTTGTTGGTTTATATGTTGTTGGATATGGATCCGATTCTTCACATCTCATCTCATCTCATCTTTATGATCTCAATCAAAGAAATAGAGATGCAGAGGAAAGTTGTATATTATGTTTCCAAGACGTGGGCAGCACCTTCCTGGAGGAGTGAAGCCTCCTCCGCACCTCCGACGTGCATAATTTGGACCGTGTGGACCGTTCAAATTTAATATTTTTTATTTTTATTTGTAAAAAAATTAATAAATTTTTTCATCAATTTAGACGGTTCATATCTGATATAAATAGTCCACGGTTATTACTTTTTTATATATTAACTTTTCAGATATATTATAGATAATGCCGGTTTAATATTAAAATTTTTATAAATTAAATGTGGATTATTCATATTAAATCTGTTTATATTGGTGAACAAATTTATTAAATCTTTCACAATTTATGTAATTTTTTATTTTAAAAAATGTTAAATAAAAAATAAATTAAAAATATTAAATTTTGATTGTCCAGATTAAAAACTCAACGGTTCAAATTATGCACATCCTCAAGGGAGGTGTGGAGGGAAGCTGAATCCCACTTTCCTTTATGCTTAATTTACCCCAATGCATTCCAATGTTCGGGTAAATTGGGTTAATGATAAATTTCCTTCATGATATAGTGAAGATTCTTGAGTATATATTATACTTACAAAATTCAAGACAACAATGATTTTTTAAAAGTGATAATTTGACTTTATTTCTGATACACTTAAAAGCAAAAACAATAAGTTTTAATAGTTAGAAGTTTTGGATGATCAAAATGAGTAATAATCAGGGGTATTTATATATAACGTCAGGCATCGAAATGGTACCTTTTAAATAATAAAACTATCCTTACAAATTATAGCCAATGTTTTGATTCATTACCCTTATATTAAGTTCATCAAAAATTTTATGTTAATTCATGGACACCCCTATGTTGGCTCATGTCTAATAATTAATATTAATAAATGATTATTTATAATAACTTTTTATGAAAATAACATCCTCTAAAAATGTAGAGTTTTTTTGAAACATACATTTCCTTTCCTCAAGTAATAACTTTTAATTTTATAATCTCCCAAATGTGCATTGAAAATTTAAAGAGATATGACATTGGTGATTATAACTCTCTAAATAACTCTTCATGAATATTTCTTAATTTATAATGGCATAACTCCTTAATTAATAAGGACATGACATTTAAAAGAATATGATTTTTCAAAAAAAAAATCTCTTTATTTTAAAAATATTTTAATGATATGTTGCAATGCGGGAATAATATAGACTCGGATTTCTTCCACATAATTTTTATCCTTGTTCTCTTATTTTCTTAGGGAAGATCAAAGACGAGTTGTTGGCAAAATAGCTGTGGAGGCAAAGAGAACTCTGGTTGAAGAAAAAGAGACGTGAGTTACATTCTGTTTAATTGTTTATATTTTTTTTTTTTGGGGCATGAGATATTATCATTCTGATAAGAACTCTTTGTTCATGCTTAAATTGATCAAACCACTTATTTATGTTTTCAACAAGAGTAATAGAACAAAGGAAATAGACCAATTATAAAATTAACAATGCAAGACTATTTTGGCAAAGCTAGGGGTCGGATTTCCATATGCCACTTTGGTTTTCATTCAAGGAGCGAGAGTTTTCCTCTTTGTTTACCTTTTGAAACTACCCAACAAGCTTCTGAGAGTACTAATGATACTTATATTACAGAAGGGTCTGGGAAGCAAGAATGGTTGAATGTTACTAAGAAAACTATGGTTTCAGATTCGCAATGGATGTCCAGAGAAGTGTATGGTCATCATCCAAGGAGATATCAGTCATGGGCGGCGCCACATATAAATCATCAGGGGCAAAAGCACCCCTTGGACTTGGAAAAAAATAATATACAAGGAGGGTTTATATGTTCTAATACTTTGCACTTCTGGAATCAAATATTTTGCACCCCTAAGTCCAACTTTAAAGATATTTGGGTTTCAAAAAATTTTATATCTCTTAAAGTTAGTGATTAGATTAACAATTGCCACAACAACGGTAGAAAGAGAATTTTCCTTCATAAAATTTGTGAAAAATAGGTTGTGAAATAGTATAAAAAATCCATTGATGAATAATTATCTAATGACTTATATTAAAAAAGATATTTTTCTTAGCATCGATAATGAGATGATTGTTTAACGATTCCATAACATGAAGTCATATAGGGTACAATTGTTTTTAAAATTATTACGTTATTTTTAAATTATTAATTTAAAAAATGTTGCACCCCATGGCCCAGAGTCCTGGCATCACCACTGGAGATATGGCCATGGAGCTGTGATGTGTTCGTATTAAATTTCATAACTGAGGAAAATTGCTCATTTGTTAAGGAGTTTCGCAATGCTCTATATAGATGTGGTCTGGTTATGGCTTCTCGAGATTCTATTGCTCGAGCTCCCTTGAACAAACAAGCTTCGTGTTTTTATCGTCTCAAAAAACTATGAGGCCCAAATACCCTACTTGCAGGAACTGAACTCATGGAGAGGCCAGTTTCTATCAATTTTTTTGGAGGTGGATCCCTTTCAAGTACATAGTGGTTTTCATAAACTGCTTGAACAAAAGTTGGGGCCATGTTCACTTCCTATACAAGATTTGGTGGTTCAAGATAAGTACGACCTTCTTCTCTAATTGTTCTGTGCGTATTTTAAAATTTCTTCCTTTCAGAGCATTTTAAAGAGACAAAGTGAGGTAGAGAAAAGAAATATATTATGATTCAATTATCATTTCATCTTTGTCTTCTTTCCTTAGTTAATTACTCAATTTCTGGAATGGTTCATTTTATATAAATTTAGGCAATTGATTCGTAGATTAGTGTGCAGTCAATTTCATTTTCTTGACAATCTTCTCCATCAATAATTGACATCTGTTCACTTCATTGGTGGCGCTAATTTTCTTTTCTTTCATCTTATTCAGGAGAGACCAGTCGCGGGTTATGCGTAATATTGTTGAGAAATCTACCAAAATTTTGTGTGAGCGTGCTCGGTAAGTAACATTATTTTAGTTCCTCATGGTTCTTTCTCTACATATACTTGGCTGTATCTAATTGATCAAGTCCTTTCTTATGTGTGTATGCGGATAGAGAAATAAGATTTGAAAACTTATGTAACAAAATTACGAATTAATTGAAATCTTGTCCGCACTCATACATATATGAAACAATAACTGCTAAATTACTTTTGTTCTTCTTCTCTTCTACAGGATATCATTTGGACATGACATTGAAGCATATGCAAGGGAAATAGATAAATCAAGAGAAATAGCTACAGTTGGGATAGGATATCATCGTGTAGAAAAATTAGTTGAGCTCATGGACTTAGGCTCAAATTATGATGTGCGAGTTGTAGGGATTAGTGGGATGGGGGGAGTAGGGAAGTCAGCTCTTGCGGAAGATGTCTTTGAAATAATCTCCTACCTTCTTGATTCTGCCTATTTCATCTCCACTCCAACTACCACTCAAGATTATCCTCCAAGTCAATCCATATTAAAGGAGGCCTTTCTTCAGATAGCTTTGCCAAAAGAATTTCAACCTTCATATTTAAAAAGCCCAAGACTCCAGAGGATGCTTGTTGAGTACTCGAAACATTTTGATGGAGGATGGATTAGACGGTTGTTTGGAGGAGGAAGTAGAATTATCATAACAAGCAGAGATGAGGGACTCCTTAGACATCTTGGAGTAGATGAGATTCACAAGGTGGAACTATTGAATCAAAATGAAGCTCTTCGACTTTTTTGCAAAATTGTTTTCAAAAGTGATAAACCAATGACAGGTTATGAGGAGCTGACCCTCGAAGCACTTAAATATGCTGATGGCCTTCCATTAGCTGTTAAATCAGTAGGTTCATCGCTTGTTGATCTAAGTGTCTCAGAGTGGAAAAGTGTGTTGACCAAACTTCAAACAGTTCCTGACCCTTCAGTACTCACAGTGCTTAAGAAAAGTTTTGATGGGCTCACAGATTGGCAAAAGAATGCTTTCTTGGATATTGCATGTTGTTTTGCAGGACAAAAGATTGATTATATCAAGGGAATTTTATTTTGTCAATATCTTTTTCGATTTTTTTATGAGATGATAATCGAAAGTCTTATTGAAAAGTCACTGATGAGCATATCAAGTCAAAGAATAAAAATACATCGTCTCCTAGAACAGTTAGCAAAACTAATTGTTCTTGATGAATCTCCCGAACCTGGAAAGCGGAGTAGGATATGGAATTATGAAGATTTTCGTCATATCATGGAGGCAAATGCTGTAAGTTCTTTATACTTTAATAGCCTTAAAAGTAAATTATCAATTTCGTCTATAGTTATATGAGTTGTTAGTTTGGTTCATGAAATATCCCCCAACTTAGATAAAATGTACTGCAAAAGACCATGCTTAGTTCTTTCGTCCTTAAATCTTACAAGTTGATAGAGATGGTTAAAAACCCATCTAGAAGAGGGTTATTATTATATCTTTGATCAACCCCCTCCTTGGATTGATGATGGAGGGAATTGATGAATAATCTGTATCACTGATAGGATGTTGTAATTGGCTTATCATCTTTATGAATGGTTTCATTTCTATTTTTTTTATAAAAAAAACCATCTAGATGCTTGTGAACAGAAAGTAATGACATTTTAGATAGCATAGACATAATTAACTATGTTAACAAACAGCCCAATTTATGATTTCAACAAAACCTTTATGTTGATTTGATTTAAATTATTTTTTTTTTATAGATTATATAGATAAAACATTTATAGTTTAGAAATTAGAATCTTATCTTATTGTGTTTATATATATACATATATAGAGTTGATAGTTTTGACTTTTTATATTTACTTATGCAATACATCCATATTAATTCAGGGAACTAATCGTGTTCAAATCATAGTACTCTCAAATGATGAAGAGCATCCACAGGGGACAACTTTGAACATAGAAGGTTTATCAAAATTGAGGAAACTCAAAATCCTTATATTTCACAATGTGTAATATTCAGGAAATCCCTATGATCTTTCTAACAACTTGAGATATCTTTCCTGGGATAAGTATCCACTTAATCATTTGCCATCAAATTTTGAGCCAAAATGCCTTGTGGAATTGATCATGCCAGACAGCAGCATAACACAACTATGGAGAGATGAAGAGGTATATCAATCAAAACTAAATTGATGATGATCAGTAAAGTTATATGCTGCTTTTAATTTGTTGAACAAACCAGAATTTTATATTTCACAATTTCAAGCCTGTCTGGTTTCTGTTTTTAAAAATAAAAAAATTTAAAATTTATTTGAATAAGTATTTTCAATTTAATTGTATTTAAAACTATTCTCCTTTTTTAAAAACTAGAAACATTTTAAAGTTGTTTTCATTTTATTTTTATTATTTTCAAAATATATTATATTTGATTGTTAAAAAATACAATCATTTTGATCAATTACTATCATAAGCCATCATTGTTAACGTCTGGCAACTAGATTTTTAATTATAAAACTGATTTTTAAGTTAACACAACCAAATGGATATTTTCTTTTTTTTTTTTTGAAAACAGTTTTAAAAATTATATTAAAAAATAGCTTTTTAAAACAAAAAACAAAAACGAAAACGAAAAAGCCCTTAATATCTCATTTTTCTTCTTCAAAGAATATTTCTTATTCAATATTTCTCTCATTAAGATGTGTTGAAGTCTCACTGTCATTGGAATATTCCATGACAAAAGTGTAATTATAGCGCTTTTGGCATTGACACTAATGAAGATGAACAATTGTTTTGGATGCTTCAATTAAAAGTCTTGTCTTTGAGTTTGATGCTTGTCTAATCTCCTAATCAGACAGAGATGCAGTACCTGGAGAACTTGAACCTCCGTGGCTCTAAAGATTTGATGAAGATACCTTATTCTGATTTGCTTCCATGTCTTGAAAGGTTAGACTTGGAAGGATGTACTTCATTAGTGCAGCTTCATCCTTCTATTGCGTATTTGAGAAGGCTTAAGTTTTTGAATTTGAGAAACTGCACAAATCTAGAAAGTATTCCAAATGAATTATTTGGCGAAAGCTCTCTTGAATTTCTAAATCTGGCTGGCTGCTCCAAATTTGCCCAAAGTTTGAGGTTCAAGAGAGTAACATTAAGTTGGTCTTATGTTAGACTTATGTGGCTTTAATCATGTATTAATTATATGAACACATCTCTTTCTTTGCATTGAGCTCTATCAATATTCTCGTCTGCTACAATTTGTGTCTATTTGCATCTGCTATGGAACATTTTTATTTTATAATTATATCCAATCGTACATTATTTATGGTGTCTCAGATTTTGACACATCATTTTACAATGAGATAGTCAACCACATATATTTGGCAAACACACTAGATTTAGAGCTGATGGGGAAGATATCATGTCATTTAGTCCCATGTTACAGTTTATTTTCTACAACGTAGATATTTTTTTTTCCTTAAAACTTGGTTTAACAAATTGAATTATGTTTATATTATGCAATTCAAAAATAGATCTAGATGTATAATGACCGAAAAGGATATAAATTTTATTATACATATTTGTGTTTTATTTTATATCTTTAAAGAAAAATAGTATTAAACTTTAAACTAAATTTAAAAATAAAAGAGTGAATATATAATTAATAAGTATTATTTATAAATTTTAAAAAACTGAAATAAATTAACTGTTGGTAATATATATATATATATATATAAATTGCATTGAATGCGCCAGCATTATAACTCATCCTAACCTTAATAAGAAACAAATATCAGATTATTGAGACATGTTGCACTTGAACCCACCTCCCTCCAATTAAATTTGAGAAACTGCACAAGTCTGATGATTGGTATTTCAAATGAATTATTTGACCAAACCACTCTTCAATTTCGTTGGCCAAGAAAAAGGACCTCTCTAGAATTTCCAAATCTAGCTGGTTGCTCACAATTGCAAGATTCCTGTGATAACAATTGAAAAATTGCCTCCTGTCTCACTAATACAATAGTTAGTTTTTCTGTTAAATGTCTAACTTACAGTATTTTAAATTTGAGCTTGAATGTATCTTAAATTTGATTTTTTAAGTGTTTCTTGTATTGAGGAATGGTTTTATCCATTTAATGAAACAATGAGCACAAAATCATCTACCCAAGGCAAATTTTATTGTGGCAGTACATCTTCAAGCCAATGGAATTGAATGAAAAATCAGTTAGCTCCCAACTACTTCACTTTAAAAAACTGAAATGCGTCAAAAAAAAATTACGAAATTGACATTCTCTGAAATTAAATTCACTTCCTTTGCTTTCAGTGCAGAGATCATGAAAGACTGCATTACAAGGAGTCTCCCTTCTTCATAAGTATAGCATCATCCTAAAAGATTTGATAAAACTGCCACCCCCAAAAGCTCAATAACAGTGTTGAATAAATAATATGTACCAATCAATCTGAAAATATATGACATGCCTGCAACATTAGAAAACCTCAATATCTCCACAAATAACAATGAGTCCTAAGACTTACATTTCTTACTGTAAATTATTTGGTTCTGTAAGTAACTTAATGACCATAGGACTACAGGAGTAAGAAATTAATATGACCACATAAGATTAGTTTTTTAAATATGCTACTTATCACTTTCTGATCAACTGCTCCTATTACATATGATGAAACCCTCTCCTCTAATAGATTTAAAACAAGAAAAAATCAGAAAAATTGTAATGGCCTGAAAAAAAATTAAAATTAAAATTAAAAATTTAAGTTAAGGTGTTTTTTATTGTTTTTATATAATTTAGGGTAGTTTATCAAGAATGAACAAGTGACTTAGTGGCAACGACTTTGGACCTTAAAACATGGGTCTTGGGTTGATGCACAAACGAGAGGATTTCATTTTTTACTTCAGCCAGGTTAAATTATCGAAGTTACCCTTTAAAAAAATCAAAGATTAGAAACGCACGCACATATTGTTCATTTTCTTCTTGCCTCTCTTCAGTTTCGAACAATCCATAGCAAGAGTGTTAGAGAGAGTAGGAACCCGCACCCCCTTTGTTCGATCTCCACCATCTTCAACATCGCCGACGTGGTTGTGAGTAAGCACGTCCTCCGCCGCCGCTGAGAGGTCCAGATCGTGATTCCTCCCTCTCCCCTGCTTCTCACCATCAATCGTTCGCCTTGCTAGTTGTTGTTTAGCTCATTCGTCAGTCATTGTCGCTGCTGGAGCCGTTAGAGTCACCATCGTTTGCTGCTGTAAGGATTGTCATCGAGGTCAAGGACTCCTTCCGTTCTTGTGTTGCTGTCAATTGATATCCTCTCTGTCTCTGTTTCATGGTAGTGCTCATAGATAGCTATGGAAACTTGATCCTCTTCCTTCATCCCTCCTTGTTCCTTAGATGAGTGAATCTCACCTCTCTCCTCTCTTTGGTCTGATTCTGTGCACATATATATTGATGAATGAGGTTTAAATTTTCCATTCCTCTCCTTTCTTGGCTACCGTAGGTCTGTGGAAAAAAAATAAAATAAATTAGTAAACTGAATTGACTCCAATTGGTAAGGCAGTTCAATTGTTGTTGGTGCTATTGATAAAGTTGGATAGGAGTTTGATATTCTCTGAGTTTAACACTGGGTTGTATGGAAATATATATATATATATATAATGAGAATAATAATTAGGAAGTTTGATGTATTCAAGTATTGATGTTGGGAACTGTGGGAGTGTGATATGAAGAGAAGGGCTTAAAATTAAATTTAAATATTTATGTACCCATTAGAAGGGATTGAGTTTGGTTATGAATTTTCTCAAATTTTATCAACCTCTACAAGGATATATTTGGTTTGGGTGTTAATTATTTATGGATTTAACTTGAGTTTTGTGAAAAAATTTTATCATGAAATTATTGTGAGATAATTAGATTATGGGGAATTGCATGATTGATGATTATAAATGATAATGTTGTCTTAAGGCTTGATTTTGGGATACATCTAACGTGTTTGATAAATTGGGTGATAGAAGAACTCTGAAATTTTATAGTGATTAAAGATGTTGTGTGTAGATATATACAAGTTTAGTTACATAAGTACTTGAGGAGAGTTGGATAGAAACAAAGTGTTGAATAGAAAGATATATATATATATATATATATATAAAGTGTAATAGAGATTAATGAATGAAGGAAATTGAATAGAGAAAAGATTGATATTAGTTGGAGGATTAATGCCTGTAAGGTATTCGATGAAATGTCTAAATGTGAGTTTTGACATATGATGGAAAAACAGGCATGGTGAATATATATTGTTAATTAATTAAAACAATTATTAGAAGATAATTATTTTCTTTAGTGGACGTTGAGAAAAACAAATTAAAGTATAATCAAGTTATTGGACGGGAAGTAATTTGTACAACTGTTGAGGGATCAAAGAAGCTAAGGCATACATTATATGATTTGAAATTTAGTTGATTATGTTGTAGTGACTTTGGAAGGGAATATATGTGATATGAGTAAAGGTCATTAATCAATTCTTTATATATGTTTACATAGGATGTTGAGAAGAAGATAAACTTTTTTTAGGAGTTGGAAAAAGTAAATCTTTAGATTTGGAACTATGAGGTAAGTAAATAGCATCCCAATTAATTCACTAACGAATTTATTTTTACTAAAATATTATTTTTTTTAAATAGATTTCATGTACTATTTGAAGTATTTAATATTTTGTTAGTTTTATTGCTTCAACTCTTTAAGTTTTAATTTGTATGATGAAAAATAGTTGAATCATAATATACCTATATATTTTCATTATAAAATGTATACTGAAGGATGATGAAAAGTTTTACTAGCTTAAATAGAAATTTTTATTTGATAAAGGCAAATGTGGAATCAGTAAAGAAGTTTATATTGAGAAGAATTGAGATTTTAAAATGTTCATGCAAGTTAGATATTGAAAGTACAAAATTTTATTTTGAAAATGATTAATTTCTCGCATGTTTGAAAAATTAATTTTTGAGGACTATACACAAAGCACTGGTTGTTAATAGTAGTTCCATTAGCACTTGGTGCCATAGTTATGACTAGCTAGTTCGACTTTCGTGATCAGCGCACTCACATTTGTTATCCATAAATCTCGTACCTACATTTGTTTTCATAGCTTCAAGTCACATTTGGTTAGTATTATCCTCGTGAACCGTGTGTCCATGTTTGTTTCGTAGCTTCAGCTGCGTTTGATTACCTATCCTTGTGGATTATATGTCCACGTTTGTTTTTGTGGTGTAAGCCACATTTGATTATTTACCCTCATAGACTGTGTGTCCACGTTTTCTACAAAGTCCTAAAATTTAATTGATTTGTGAATATATGTACATACTTTATTGATTTTAAATAGTGAATGTTACTATTTTTATTTACTTAATCTATTTTATTTTATTGTACAAGATCAAATGTTAAGGTTTTGTCATTATAAATTTACTAATTCAGTATATTTGAAGTCATGTATAATCTCTTAATCTCCAAATTCAGTTTTTATATTTTATTGATGTTTTTTTTAATTGCACACCAATTTTCTTGATAAATTTATTTATCTTGAATCTTTTAATCATTATTGGGATGTTATTTATTAGAAGAAAAAAATATTTTTGGTGTCAAATAATGTAAGCAACCTGCACTTCTTGAGGATCATTGAGAGGCTCCTTATTGAATTGACTATAAGATCTTTTTAGAATATCTTCCTTTTTGATGTAAATATTTAATTATGTGTTGTCTTGAGATTATGTTTTAGATGCTCCACAATAACTATAGATAGGATCCTGATCTATAATTTATACTATCTGGCTCTATGACGGAGCAACGCTTCATATTTTTGATTTGGTTTTGTAAAGGATTTTTATAGAGATTTTTGGGAGGTCCCAACTATAGGGGAGGTTTTGTCAAATTTTGTACAAAATTATTGAAGCTTTTATTATAATGATTTTTATTAAGTATATCATAATTTTTTGTACAAATTTAATTATGTTTTAAAAATGAAAAGATTTTTCAATTTAGGGCTTAAGGGATATGTGATAGGGTTCACATCTCGTGCCAGTCACCCTCTATTTTTGGGACATGACAAAAATAATTTTTGATTACAAGGATAATGATGATTCATGCCAAAGTCATATCCCTCATACACTCATACACTTAAACTACAGTTACAAAGACAGTACAAAATACACTAATGAACAGTAACATAGACATAAGCCATAAGCCACTCACAAACCCACCAAGCAGAAGATAAAATGACAAAGAAAGGTGACTTCCTCCACCCCAAT